CCACAACCCACACCCACAACCCACAACCCACAACCCACACCCACACCTACACACCCACACCCCACAGCCACACCCACACCCACACCCACACCCTTCTAAAGAGCGCACCAGTGACATAGTTTGATTGATCAACAAAATTCATGTGGTGACTGTCCTGATATTCGAGGGCTATCAACTCCTACTTCTGCATTATTCATTCGGTTGACATAATAGTATAGTTCAGTAGGTGTCCGTTAGGAATATGAAATGAATAATAAAATGGGGGTTATTAGTACATACAAATGCATCATCATGACGAGATTGAATTAATAAAAACGATACATTAGATGATATTCCCCAAGCATATGTCTAAGATATTGAAGAAATTTCTACAAATAATTCGTTTGATATTAATTCTACGACAGGCCTTATACCTCTGACTATTCAACGACATAATCCTAAACGAACATTAACATAAACATGTACATATCATGATGATGGATTTTTGTGTATGGGACAAACACAAATGTGTGTACAAGTATTTGATGAAATAAAAGAAATGAGTTCAATAGTACTTGAACAGCGTCGTTTTAATGAACAAGGAATGACACATCCACTATTATCAACAATGGAGGGTGTGGATGTGGATGCAATTGTACTGCTCATTTTCCACCCACACCCATACCCACACGCTTATCTTGGCAAAAGAAAAACTAGTCGTTCATTTAACTTATTGAATCAGGTGCATGATCAACAAACACCACCACCATCATTTATTGTCTCATTATGGAAAAAACTAAAAATAAAATTTACATACAGGGTGTCCCATAAGTAACAAGACAAGGAAAAAAAGTTTGAATATCTCCATTAGGGCTCGACCAAATGGGCTCAATTTTTTATCAAGGATAGAGGCATCTGCACACTCCAAATCCATACGAACAAGGTGAATGAGAACCTTTGTTAAGTATCACTATTGACCTTAACAATAAAATTTTTACTTTTTCACAGACAGGAAAATAAAAAAATATACTTAACAAAGGTCCTCACTAAGCTTGTCTGTATGGATTTGAAGTATAAGCATGCCTCTATTTTTGGTAAAAAAAATCAGCTCGGTTGCTCGAGCCGTAATGGAAATATTTAATTTTCTTTTCGATAAAGTGACTTTTGCACTATCCTGTATATTGGTTTTTTCTTACCAGTGACAAAGCAAAAATTTTATTGTTGAGGTCACTAGCGATACTTAACAAAGGTTCTCATTCACCTTGTTCGTATGGATTTGGAGTGTGCAGATGCCTCTATCCTTGATAAAAAATTGAGCCCATTTGGTCGAGCCCTAATGGAGATATTCAAACTTTTTTTCCTTGTCTTGTTACTTATGGGACACCCTGTATACAATAATTAAATATTGTTCGAATTGTATGCTCGAATTAATTAAATACATATGCAATAAAGATAATAAATGCGTGTTATCTGAATTGATCATATTTTCAGTTACTGAAGATGATTTCAAAGTATAAATTAAAACAAGATGGTAACGAAGATGATATTGTTCGAGATATATTGAATTGCTTTTGTTTCCACTAAAGCTTTCCCCCATATCTCTATCTATAGAGCTAAGAAATGAATGAAGAACTTCAAAAAAGAAAATGAGAGTTGATTTATTTTTCGAAAAGAAAACTTTTATTACTTCTATTTTGCGTAGATTTGTTTTGTTAGCGAAATAAAAGAGCCGTAATACTACTCGTTGGTATAGGTATTAGCTAAACTATAGCAAAAGAGACTGATTTGCAGCGTTCTCACGAGTCTAATTGAAATGAGAAAGAAACATGACAAATAAAAATGACAATTTGTATTTGAAATTTTTTCGTGTCTATTTAGAAGAACGTTACAAGAAACAATCTGGTAAAAGTTTAAATCGGATTACTTTATTACTATCTTGTGACTGAAAGCCAACAATTAAATCTAGCAGTTGTTTGATTTGGCCGGTAAATATTTCACTGCTATTTTGATTGCATCTTTTTGAACTCGGGATTTTTTTTTGTATATAGATGCTAGCCAGCATCATTGAGACGCCTCGACCATATCGTACTAATAAACAAAATATGATGTTATTATGCCTACGGCATTCTCCTCGTTCACCATCAGCTGAATACTTACTTGGATGTATTACACAAGATCTTTCTCGTTTAGTTACAACCGGTATTGATGCTCAAATTAATGATTTAGTTAAGAGTTATTCGGAAGGGAAAAGTTTGTCTCGTCGAGAAACGCCTCTAAGCATTTTCTAATTTTGTTTTTCTACTAATAGTATTACATCTAATTTCTCAATACATATGTTTCACAAAAGTCAAACGTGTGCCATTCTGAATAAAAAAAAAATATGTAATAGAGGGTATATAAGATACATCCTTTACATAATGACACAGTTAACAAGGCATTCTTCTGCTTGCTAAAAGCACTTAGTTTATCTTCATTTATGCTTATTTAGGTTCCATCCATTTTGACGTTTTTATTCAAGATATTTGTGCTGATGAACCTGCTCAATAAAAAATCACTCAAATGGCTTCACATAATGCCTATGACGCATGTCGAGTTTGTGAACTTGAAGGAAGTTATAGTGTTGTTGATCACACTTGTACATATTTATTGTATAGAACTAGAGATCGATTTGAATCGTGGTTGCAAGAAGTTGAACGTCTGACAATTATTGGTAACAAGAACATTAATGTTCGTGGTATAAAAAGCATATCTCCATTAAACGATCTAATTTTTCTACCGATTCAAGCCATATATGATTATTTTTGTTTATGTTTGGAGGTAAGTTTACCTCAGATTTAAATAGTTATGTCAGGCAAAGTTCAGACTTTGAAAAAAATTAGCTTGAGTTTTTAAAAGCTTCAAAAATAAAAATATAAAGAAACAAATAAATAATTACAAATAACCGATAATAGCTTTTTGTTAAGTTACGTTCAAATTTCATTGAAATCCAGTGGAGTTTGAAACGCTGAAAAAATTCGAAATAATAGACGTTTTAAATTGTTTGAACTATAGAAAACATTGTTATATTTATCAAATGAATCAATTAGTGAAAATGAATCTTCTGTTGTTGTATTTGACGTTTGCTTATGTAAGTAATCACATTTTTTTCTATTGATGATGAAAGTTTGAATTCATAAAAAAATTACATTCAGTTGCACCTAATTTCAACAAATTTTGTCTAGAGTTTTTTGCCTGTGGTATAAGCGTGACTTTTGAGACAGAGAGAATATCTTCCAATGAGAAGTATGTCTATCGGAAGACTTGACATTTGCAATTTTAATAGTATCCTTCATCAACTTTAAAAAAATAAATGAAGATCGTTTCAATGACCTTGAATAAATCGAGTACAAAGAAATATCTTGCTTAGAAAAGTTTGATTGATACAATAACATTGACGTGAGAACAGAAAAGAACCAATTATATAATTATTTCGTTCGCCTCTTACCATTTCCTTCTAGGGTCATACTAGTGTTTAACTTAAAAAATGGAATGATATGCATTCTGGTTCAAGTATTCAAAACATGTGAAATAATTGATATATTCGATGAATTTTTATCAAGTTTCAACTATCCACATTCTATCCACCGTGGAGTACAACACTTTCGAGTATTCAATGATTGGAATGCTGCTCAACTCCGTATATTTCTTCTTTATTTGGCATTACCATTTTTTGTCATTTTTCGTAGTTATTTTCCTCCCTTAATTGTTTTTCATTTTTCTTTATGTTTCATTTATATACGTACCTTATGAAAATTTAATGAACAAAAACATGTCTATGATGTACGTCCATTCATCGAGATGTATCTTCATCGGTTTTCTGAATTTTATAGGGTGTGAGTATTGGTGTGAGTGTGTGGGTGTGGAAGTGTGACTGTGAGTATTCGTTACACCCACACCCACACCCAATATGACAATAAAAAAGGTAAATGAGTTTTTTTTTCTTAACTGTGATTAGCTAAACGATCAAAATATTATGTGTAGATTTTGTCCATTACGTCAATTTCCGTTAATTGAAATGCAGATAGCAAATCTTGCCGTCTTAGTAAAGATGTTAATCTTAAATCATTTGTTTGATAATTATCTCTAATAAAATCTGTAATTATCGAATGTTCTTCGAAATTTCGCTTTTCCTTTTCAATTAATAATACTAACAAGGTATCATAACTAATATCTTCACTAGTACTAAATGAACGAATAAAATTTTGTTACGAATTAAATACTTGTTCATCAAACTCGTTGTTCATTTTGTGTACATCTAGATAAAAATTGATATTAGTAATATCACCTTTGTTCAGGCAATACAACGATTTTAATACATTTACATTGTAATAATATGTTGGAATATTAATGCTTGACATTTCTCGAAAAATATTTCTTTTTAAAGGAGACAGTATTTCCGAAATAATATTAACACGTTTAATGCCGATTTCTTTTTGCTCAAGAGCATTCATTCCTTTTTTTAAATTACCTATATCATTATTCAAAGTAAAAATACGTTCATTTAAAGAACTAATAATTTTCATAATTAAATTACGTAAATTAGTGATTATCGTTTCCATACTTTTCTTTTCTGATTCAGGTAAGTGATTTATACGAATATAATTCAAATATATTTCATCGATCATTTGATCAATTTTATTGATTATATCATTTTTAATTAATGATGCTTGTGTTGTAGTTACTCAAGTATCATTTGTTGGTACAGTTATTATATAATCATTTTTGTTTAAGCTGTTTAAATAATCCGTAAAACCTTCTGGTACAGCTTTATGCAATAGATTATTATCATTTAAGAAAGGAAAATACGGTAATCAAATATTATATTTGGTTACATCTAATTGTCAATCATGAGTGTTTTTATATTTAACTAATTGATGAAGTATAAGATAAATAATTTTAGAAAATTGCGCATTTTTTCAAAACAAATTTTATCAATCGAATGTTCATTTAATATCGTATTTTAAAAAATCGAAATATTGAACATGTATTCTGATGATAAATTATTATCTTCCTTATTATCAAGTACACATACCCATGTAGATGATGTAGTCAATCTGTCATGTGTATGTCATGCATTGGATTGTGATTGTTGCAAAGTAAATTTTATTAATATGATAAGAATATGAAAAATGTATGTAAAAATAGAGAAATAAACGGAATCGATATACACCTAATGATGTTCAAGAACAGTTTGACAGATTAACTTATTTATCTAGTGTATGATGATTAAGCTTTGTATTTCTGATTACCTTCCATATGTTCGATATTATTTAGTTAAAAAAGGATCAAATACCACATGTTAAAACTTGTTTGGATCAATGTCAATTTACTTGTCCTTCACCAGCATTACGCTATAGTAAAGCATTACGTCGAAAATTATGTTCAGTACCGGAACCTATGTTATTTGGTTTACCTATTCAATATGATGTACGTAGAATGGTTTATTTTTTTTTTATATGCATTCTTGATTTCTAAAGAATCATTCAATCAATCGGAAGAAGTTTTCAATTGAAAAACTCTGTGAATGGCCGTTTGCTGGTATGTCAGAATACTTAGTATGTAATCAAACATTTGTATTCGTCAAATTTTTCTTTATTGCTTTCCAGAGAAGTTATCGTTCATATACTGTAGATGAAATACAGTCACATAGAGGTCAAAGATCATTTAAAGAGCATGAGTTTTTAAAACAAGATCTTGAACCAATGGCTCAATTTACAACCTATAATGTACATTTTATAATCACTCTATTATATAATTCATTTTCTGTTTTTAGAAAGCCTTTCAAGACCCAAGATTTTTTGATGAAAATTCAAAGTCGAATTCAAATTTATTACAACTGAATAGATGTCAATCTTAGTTGATTATAGTCTTATGGCACATGTTTCTATATTGAATATGAATTACCATCATCTGAATAATTTAACAAAACGTACTTATTGACATCAACTATACGGCGGCAAACTGAACTTTGATGGAAAGTAAGAATTTCAAAGATGGAGTGTGATTCTATGTGTGCATGAGAGAAGAGAAGCGACCAGTCACCAGTATTACAAAATCGACTAAATAGCTTGTATAATTGTTTATTGCATTTATAAGCAGTTATTTATGTAAGTGTGATAGAAGCATCTTAAGATTCAGTAAAATCCTGAAATTCTTTTGTTGGACTTACTTATACTCGATTTGATTTATTAATTAAAAATGACTAAACTCAAGATAGAACTCGAAAATTTGGGAATGCAATGATGTATCTAACACTAACATATGTTATATCAATACGACAAAACTTGATAATATGTTAACATATGGGTTCATAGCATGTTCTATTGATATTGAATAAGAGTATAAGTCGTTTTGATTATCATATCAATAGTATTACATAAAAGTAGTAAAAGAAACTATATGTCAAATTGAACTTTTTCTATGAGAAGATTAGTTATCAAAACAACATTATGAACGATACACAAAAAAAAATCCTTTTATTCAATAATGAATGATGGCATGATAGACACAAAAACTGAGATTTTATTTTAAAAAGAATAACAACGAATAAAATAATATTAATAATGATGATACGCATATATGATAACTTGTCCAGTTAAATATGTTTTTCTTGTTCAAACCTATCTATTTGAGTAATGACCATTTGATTTGCTCTTTTGCATGGCTAAGTACCTATTAAAATAAGAAAAAGAAAAACTTGTATAATATCCAATAATAAAAGTTAAAAAACGTGCAATCACTGCAAGGAAAAAGAATTATCATGCTAATCTCTTTCTTTAAGTTTTTTTTTTTTTGACTCTTAAATTTTATTAATCAATCAATTATTCATACATGAAAATTAAGATGAAATATAAACAAAATAGTCAGCGTCTAAATAGTAATAGAAGCGAGAAAAATGGAGCAAAGTAATGAGCTCGCACACACGCACATCATTTTAGTATATATTTCTATCGATCACCATTGAAGAACATATTGAGTCCCTGATAGAAAACCTGATTGACAAAATATGATTATATCTCATATTTATTTCTGTGAATTATTTAATGAATTATTCTTTTTTTTTTAAATTTTCTATTAACTTACTTGAGAAACAGTTTGTTCACCTAATGGAATATCATCTTGACGTAATTGAACACGTTGTGTAATTAATATTGGATCAGTTTCAAGAATAATTCTAAAAATAGAAAATATAATTTGTTTGTTTTTTTCTTCTTAAAACAAAAAAAAATTCATTTTATTTTACCCATCATCACAAATCTCATCAAATGTAAGCATAACTAAATCAAGATTATCATAAAGATGTCGTTTTTCAACATTTTTTCGTAACATTGTACTTAAAGATTCAAATAAACATGTTAAAACAGAATTTAACATTAACTAAAAACAAAAAAAAAAACGAAGTAGAAAAAACAATAAAAATAATTTAATTTACTTCATTTTCATTTGTACTACCCATAACATAGAAAAGTAAATCAACATTATTTCGATAGACAATTGTCCAATTATCAAGAAGAATAACATCTCCTGAACCTTTATGTGTTTTATTAAATAAAGATTTTTCAAAATCTTTTTGTTCTTTAACAGTTCCAAATGAATTATTATAATACTAAATAATAAAAACAAAACAAATAAATACTACAATTATATCTATTAAAATTTAATTATATTTATTTTACTTTAGCTAAAATTCGATTACCATCATTATCTAATATAATTATACCTTTGATCACATAAAGTGATGGTACCTAGAATAGTGTACAAGCAATGATTTGAAAGTAAAATAATAGTAAAAAAAAACAAAAAGGCTTACAGATATATTGTCCGACACCATATTATTAATTTAAAACGTAAGAATAAAATTCGAAGATCTAAAGTAGTGAAATAAAAATACGTGTCAGTCAATATATTGAGAAAAGGACAATGTGACGCGACTTTGTGATAATGATTGCCTACTCGTTTCGACCGTATATAATCTAGTATTTCTAATCAATTCGTAAACGGGCGACAGCTATAGGATGTTCCAAAAGTTCATTGAGAAAAAAGTATAATTTTCATGATGATTTTTTATTTAATGTTTGTTTGATTGAATAACAAAGTTTAATAAATTTGATCAGGAATAAAAATAATCTTAGGAAAATACGTTGAATACAACTTCAATAAATGTATCCATGTCTTGTTGTTGTTCGTACTATCACCAGCCTTTTGTCTCTATCAGTGAATAGTATGACTTTTAATAATTCATAAAAGAAGAAAATGAACAAAAATATTTTTATGCTATCACCATGTATCACAGTATTAGATTTGTTACTGGTAAAAACAGTCAGATCAGATCGGTTCGACTTTTGCGACAAAGATGATATAACATTCCTTTTTAGTAATGCGTATGATATTAATTAATTAATATATTCAATTAATTTTCTTCATTATTATTACTGTCTCATCTTTTGGAAAAGAAGAACCCTTTATGGTAAATTCCTGTTAGACGCCATAATTATTCATGAAGTGGTAATTCATTCATTCTATCTTCTTATTGTTTTGAATTGAATAATAAAAGTCATGTTTATTATTTCAACAATATCTCTTGCATAACTCCATGAAAGAGTAATATCTGAACTTGAATGTCCATAACTACTTGAAATCATTTTTTGTATCACTTTCAATTATTTATTTGAAATGTTTTATCAAAAACAACTGTATTCGATTATGGAATTATGTATGCTTTACCATCATCTGTCTCAAAATTATAAGCGAAATTTTATCCATGATGTATGACTACGCATGATCTAAATAGAAAATGAAAATAATTCTAAATATTGTCTTGCGCCTAGGCTAGTACAATTAATAATTATATCTGTTTTATACATTAATTCATTGAATGAATTTTATTTTCGTTTTAATAAAATTCTCATAAATAATATCGAACTTCAATAGCTATTGTTGCCATAACGTAGCCTGATGTTGGTTTTGAATGATCAAATATTTCTATTTCATATTCATCTAACATAGGAAAACACTCGTTCATCAATAGATTCAAATCCATATAGTTTCTACTACACCAGCTGAAATATCACTTGTGGTTTCTGGTGAAAATTTTTAACTAATAATTATTAAATGAAAATTATCATTTAATGAATATTCTTTTAGTAAAGTACATACAGTTGTTAAACCTATGATTTTTGATTATGAAATGACATGTTTATTGTGATGAAAAGAATGAATCAAAAAAAAACGGGTGATATATATATGCTTCACCATCTATGAACGAGCACGAAGAACTTCTTTTGTTTTTATTGAGTTATTGATAACATGTGAGTTTTCGATGGCGACTGTTGAAAACGATATCCTACAACCATTTCCATTTCGATCTACACAATGCTAATATTCCTATCTTGTTCTATTTGACAATTATATTCTCAGTCTTAAGAATCAATCAAATTTCGATGATCTCGGGTGTTCTATGTTGAAAATCGCACGTTGATCAACTTGTAAACAAAAGTGATCGTTAGTCATAAGTAAATATTCATATATCTAATTAATCAATCTTCGGAATTATTTATTTTATGTTAAAGAATATGTAAATTAAAAATACAACACATTAAAAATTGTCAATTGTTTTTGATTTATTCCTTTTTCTCATCATCATTCAATGTTGCTGCAGCCATTTGTTCAGCTAAACGATTTGCATTTTCTTCTGTTTCATTAGGAATAGTTGTTAAATTTTCTTTAATATTTTTTACTGATACTCCTTCAGATTCGAGTAATTTATTAAAATCATCCTAGAATATTTTATTTTACAAAATATTATCTTTCTTTTAACAAAAAAATTTACCTCCCAACCAAGTAATTTTGCAAGTTCAGTAACACCATCATCACATGTACTTTTATGAAATACATCACGACGATTCTTATTTGTGTTATATAATAATGAATTAGATCCCTAATGAAAAACAAAATTATATATATATTACAAAAATTAAACAAAGAAAAATTTACAAAACTGCAGAGAGATGTTTCATTTCCAGCTGGTTCCATATTAATAAGAAGACGAGGACAATTTTTATCAACACTAAAAAAATAGATCATTGTTTTTTTTTTAGAAATATTTTTTTTCATATTCATACAATGATATAAGACGATTGAATGGTGCAACTTGTAATGATGTACCAATAATAATTAAAAAATCAGCTTTTGAAAAATCCTAATACAAAAAAATAAAAAAATATTTCTATCAATTAAAAACGAAACAGAAAATGTGATAGTTTTTATTTTCATAACATACACTTTCTACACATTCTCGAAATCGATCAGGTAGACTTTCACCAAAAAAGATAATATCTTAATTGAAATTAATTTTTTTGTATAGATTTATTTAATTAATATAAAAATATAATACCTGGTTTAACAATTCCATTACAATCTTTACAATGTGGAATTTCATCTTTAAATATAATTTCTAAATAGAATAATATAAAATTTCGAAATGTAAATAAAAAAAGTTTGTTGTTATTAACTATGATCAACCTTTGACAAATTCTAAATCATATTCTTTTCGACAATTTAAACAATGTGATGTAAAAAATGTTCCATGTGCTTCAACAATTTTTTCTGGTGGTACACCAGCAACACGTTCTAATGAATCAATATTCTATAAATAATAAATATTAAAAAAATTCAACAAAAGTTAAAAATTTTTTTGATATACTTGAGTAAATATTCTTAATAATTTATTTTTTTCATTTAATAACCGTATAAAAAAATGAGTTGGTGTTGGCTAAATTATTAAAATAATATTCAAATTATATATATATATATATTTATATATACATACTGTAAATTTTTGTGGATAAAGTTCTTTAGCAAGTAAAAAGAATGGTTTTGGATTATTCTATAAATGAATATAAAAACAAAATCATTTTCTTTCTATGTACAGAGTATCTCTAAAAGTCACTATACACAAAAAATAAGAATACATTTGAATACTTTTGTGATAGAGACTTTTACAGATACTTTGTATATTTTTACAAACTCGAAAAAAATCCAAATGAAAAACAGCTTCTGGAAATGGTAAATTATATTTTGATAATTGTGAATAAAGTCCAGTTCCTGGTGAACGAAAATCTGGTATTCCAGCACTTGTCGATATTCCAGCACCAGCCATTACAATAATATTTGAACATTTACTCATATATTCAGCTGCACATTTTAAATCAAATGATTTCAAAATAGGTTCTTCAACTGGTTCATTTGAACTAATAGAGCCCATTAAACCAGAAAATTTGTTCATTACTAAATAATAAAATTAGAATATTCAAAACAAAAATATTTATTTTTATGTACATACAATGTCGTAACTTTGCAACGGCTCCTTCTTCATCATCATCATCCTCATCATTATCATTTTTTTGTTTATTTTTATCATCTTTTGTTTGTTCATCTTTATCATCAGTAGGTTTTTTTGATTCTAGATTACAAAAAAATTTTTTTTTAATATTTAAATTATTCGAAATATTTGTTACTTTACCAGCCATGAAAAGTTTGCTGTTTTTTTTAAATAAAAATAAAACAAATCTAGAAAATATTGTTATAGTTTTAGAAAAAGAAAAAACTTTACATTACTAATTTTTTTTTAAAGACTATATAATATTTAAATAGACTATGAGTTAAATATGAAAAAAAAAACATTTCTATTTCATATAATCATAATTAGCAAGTGATCGTGTTAAAAATGTTGTTGTAGCACCAAGTTTGAATCGTTTATTAATTAATGTTTGAACAAGTTGAACTAAAACATATTAGATTAAATATTATGAACAAAAAATAAAATATTTGTCCAAAACGAAACATGTTCGTCTTCAATTTGAAAACGTACGTACAGGTATTAGCTCTTCTAACTCATGCCTAATCATACATATGAAGGAAGTTCTAGAACGATCCAATCGTTTTTGAGTTTATACTATGTGCATTATGTAGGCCCATTTCGTTTTTCTTTTATAAATATTGTGTAAACTAGGGATGGACCGAGACCGAACCGAGACTCTCGGTCTCGGTCGAAAAACTGAAAAAATAATAATTTCGACCGAGAGTGAATACAATGCTTACCTAGGATAAAGAACGAATAAGAAGTTAATTGTACTCGAGACCAATATTCATTAACACCGAGACCGAGACTGACCGAGCCCGAGAGGCTCGGTCTTGGTACATCCCTAGTGTGAACTCAAAGGATTTGTGCATGGAAACATGTCACGCTGCTACGATATACATTTGTAACATAGAAAAACTAGCTGAAAGAAACGAAAGAGTTTTCAAGATCAAAAATATTTACAAAAAATTCTATTTCCACTTGGGTCAAATCACCGAAAGAAGTGAAAAATATTTATTCGAGTGATAAATTGTGTAAAATTTTTTATCAATATGATTAGTATGTATTGAAAATTTTTTATTCAATTAAGCTCGTAGTTTATTATATTTTAAAGTCTGATTAGCCGTAGTTCTATGATAAATTAATAGTTTTATAAACATTTATTTGTATGACTTAAACTTTAAAATTGAAAGAATAAGAATTTCATACTATTACGTTTTGATTCGTCTGTATCTTGATAAGAATTTAAATCCATTGATTGTTGACTTTCATTATGAAAACTGAAAACTTGTGTTTGTTGATGTTCGTTTAATTCTAATTCATCAATTTCATGGATTTGTTTTAATATCTGATCCTTTTTATTTTTTATTTTTATCAATGGATTTATAATTTTATGGGTTATATTTGATATCTTTTTTGTTACTGATCTTGTTTGTCGCGTAAATAATGATCTTGATAAATTAAGTCTTTTAAGATGATCAGTACCAGTAGTACGCTTCTTTATTGGTCGCATTCCATGACTTGATATTGATTGAGTTTTTTTCTGATATGATTCAATTAATTTTTGAATTTTTTCATTATCATCATTTATCATAGTTCTTTCTGATTTCTTAAATAAAAATAGAAGAATATGAACACTTATTGGATTTGAAAATTTCATAAGAAATCGTTTGATGACGAAATATTGACATACACTTGTGCATGATAATCGATAAGAGAGTAAGACATGCAAATCATTTCAAACCGCGAAACTTATCTCAAAATATCATTCTGAATGAGCATCACAATCATTTGCTTATGTCATCATTTTCTACTTATTTGTTGGTTAAAAACTTGGAGGAAGTACTTGAACTTTAATAGATATGAAATTAGTTAGATAAAGATACTTGGGTTTAGCTTAGATACAATTGTTTTTGCGTTCAAGACTGATATTTAAAAGTTTCAATCAAGAAAATATTCATCAGAAAGAAAGTGCAGATCAAGAACTAGACTGTCAATTCGAGTGAAGCCTGAGTAGAAACAGCAATTGACTGCACAAGCCAAAAAATGTCAGAATGCGATTCTACATGACATCGGCAACTTTTAAATCTTAGAAAGTTCAGTCATATTCATCTATTTTGATTCGGCTGCTGTTAATTATCGTTTCCAGTATATTTATATCTTCCAAAAAGAACGGATCTCAAATGTATACGCGTCATTTTCTCATAATCTCAGTAACCATTTCTCCGATTTCGTATGATGCTCAAATGTTAAGAACAAGAGCAGTGATATCTAGTATAAAAGCTTGAGAAATAACTTTCTTTTATTACCAAATGATTCATCATAAAACTCTGTATTAAACAACTGATAAATAAAGAAAAACTGAAGATGTCCCTATCATTACCTCAAGTATATGTTCAAAATGACATGTTTCATCATCGTTTGTTAATTCATTATAAGAAAAATCTAAATACAATTAAAAATTAATTAATAAATTTATAAAATATTTTACTAACGATTATGAAATGATATTCGAGAAAGTAATGTTGATGATAAATTACATTTTGATTTTCGATTTAAAAGAGTACATGGATTATTACCATAGCAATTGTCAAGAATATGATTTGAAACTAAACTTTTCAATAAATATTTCTTTTTCTATTGATACATTTTTATTTTACCATCTAATTGTTGAGTTAATACAAAATTTTTCTAGACAAAAAATAATAAATTAATATTTCGAATTCATATTTAGATATAATACTTTATCATCGAAAAGAGATGCTTGTTTAATTAAACAAGTACGATCAAGTTGATTAGTAATGCCAAGATTAATTAATTCATTCTCATTACATGTTAATAATTCTTCCACTGACGAAAATCGATCAGCTAATGTTTTAGCATATTGTAAAAGAGTATGATTATCAATTGATAAATTTGAATCATGAAGAAATTCGATCCAAAATAATGTATCTATATAAAATAAGAGTAAAAAACATTTCATTCCAAATAAATAAATACTTAATTCCTTTTACCTGACGCTGAATGATTAATCATTATTGCATCAAATGTGAGAAACAAAATCTGATAAAAAAAATCTTTACATAGAAAGTCAAATAAACGGATAGATGACGACTGTATCATCAATAGTCCAATTCTAACCAATTGAAAGCAAGTCAAAACAGAGGACTCTGTACAATAATATCACAGAGTAATATCTCAAATTCTTACGTTAACATCAACGTTATATTGTGCATGCATTATATTTGACAATTTCATTAATCTGGTATTTATCTCAGTTCTTTACAGTAGTGTCAAACCTGAAAGTTGAATTCAATTATTGAAAATCTACTTCAATTATTCAATTATTGAATAGTTGAAGCTCAACTATTCATTTTTTCAATAGTTGAAGTTCAACTATTCAATTATTCAATTATTGAATAGTTGAATAATTGAACAGTTGAATAGTTGAACTTCAACTATCCAAATAGTGAATAATTGAATAGTTGAACTTGAAGTGTTCAATAATTGAAGTAGATTTTCAATAATTGAATTCAACTTTCAGGTTTGACATATATGCGATATTGTTCAAACTTTTTTTAACATAAATTCTGTTCGAATTCAAGATCTTATTCAAACTTCACTTGTTCATTGTAATCTTGTCTCTTTGATGAATAATGAAGAACAATGGATAAAAAGAAATATTTTATTGATCAATCTCTATTATGTTATTGGATTTCATCGATTCGTCTAATAGATCGATAAATGAAGATTCTATCGAAATGTAATATTCAATTTGTTCAACTCAAATCCTTTCATATTGTAAATATTCCAGACAATAACGTATTACATATCGATATAGTTCGAATAGCACCATTATTACGTTCATTAACATTGGATTTCTTAGTCGATAAAATGTCTCATGATAGCATTGGATGTTTAGCTCGAATCATTCTTAGTCAAAGAAAAACATGGCAACAACAAATTGAAGCATTGCCAATAAATAATATTCATATTCCATTTGGTTTTAACAGTTTACAATTAATGTCAAATTTACATCATTTGACAATAAATATTCGTTATGAAAATCAATTATTCTACTTGTGTTCTTATTTGCCTTCTATCGAAACGTTTCGTGTTAATGTACAGTGTTCATTCTCTAACTCATCGAATGATTCGTCAAATCCAATTGATGTCTCACCATATTTGAAAAAGTTGACAATCACTGGAAACTTTTACTCTTATTCAAAATTATACAAATTTATTTTTATCTGTAAGTCATCTTTAGAATATCTCACACAGCCTGTCCAGCTAAAAAGGGCCCTGCTTAGTCAAAGTTGAGCAGAAGATTTCTTGAATATAATGACAATGAAACTCATTCATTCAAATATTTTTTATAGGTTTTCGTATATTCCCTCTCAATAGATATCATCTGTTTTGAAAAAGCACGAGAATAAATGGTAGTTGCCAGCCAAAATCAAGCATTTTTGTGAAGAAACGATGAACAAACGGCCTTACTGTCTACAATCATATTTCGAGCACTACTTTATCATTCAAAAAAAATCGAAATAATAGTAGTATCATCGACGATTGAACTATCGTAACTCACTCATTCAAAACGACCCTTCCATGAGAGCGACTCAGAAAAGTTCACATCTCTGGAAATTTTCTCGCTTTCAAAAAACAATATTATTATTTGTATATAAAGCTAAGACAACAGATCTTATAATGATGAAATTTTTTTTGCGAAGTTTATTCCTACAAACATTTATCACGAAAACATTACGGTAACATATCCATCGTTTTTTTTTTAGCTCTATAAAAAAGCGCATTTTTTTATAGGTTTAATAACAATAGAAGGTGATCCATTGATGTCAAACAATTGAAAAATCATTGAGTTAATTCGTTTGGTTTTTTGTTTCCTGATACTTCATCATACGAATCTCATGTGGTTCTAGTCGCAGAAAATGTTTTGCAATTGATTGAATGAAACATACCTGCTTCGTAGTTAAATTGTCTCTATAAATACAGAGATAAATGTTGAAGATTTTCTACGAAATGATTTCTTACGTGCAAATAACAAAATCACGATCATGTCGACCGACTTTAACAGCATGAATTGATTCGGATGAACAACTGTAGAGATGATCCAATTCATGAGCAATTGTATTGAACATCATTTCTCTATCGTTCGTGGATAAATTCCAAGGGGGTAAGTGCAGACGCCTAGCACCCAGCACCTGCTCAGCACCTACCAGTACCTACCGGCACCTACCAGTACCTACCGGCACCTACCAGTACCTACCGGCACCTATACCGCATTTCACTATGAGCACCTACCCCATGTCCATGTCGACGCAAATGCATTGGAACGCGTGACGAACATAGAGGTAATGTCACGCGTACCAATGCGTTCGAATCGATATGAGTAGCCTTGTAGGACCTAACGGTATTCCAAAAATATAACTTTTGAACTCCTAAGAATACTCACAAAAGTTTTACTTCCTTTCACATAGGTTCCCACTACTACCCGATCCATGTCGATTCGAACGCATTGGTACGCGCGACGTCACCTCTATGTTCGTCACGCGTTCCAATGCGTTCGCGTCGGCATGGGTACGGCACCTTCAGCACCTGCAACCATTGTTTCATTATCTTAAGTACTTAAGACAATAGAATAGTTGTTGAAGATGCTGAAAGTGCCGTAGGTACCGTAGATGCTCACTGTGGAAGGCGGTATACGTGCTGTAGGTGCTGAGCAGGTGCTGGGTGCTGGGTGCCTGCAATTTCCCCCTTGATAAATTCTGTAGCTCACGACCAAAACATAAAAATAAATCTTCAACTAATGGTGTAACAATAGACATATTTCTTGATGGATCAGTACCAACTTCGAGCATTTTCATATAAAGTTTTTTGGTAGACATTGGTGTACTTGTTCTTGGTTGAAGAATTCCACGTAAATAACCTCGAAATTCTTCCATAAGACCTCGACTATGAAGAATTCCTTTCAAGTACATTAATTCTCTCTTCATTTGTTGTTTTTCATCGAGAACAGTACGATAAAGTTCTTCAACAAATTCATATGTACGAGATTTCTCTCGAAGAAGGTCGTCATATGTACGAGATTTCTCTTGAAGAAGTTTCTCGTAGTGATCACGAACAACTTTGCCCACAACTAATGATGACTGATTAGAAAATAGGTGATTTAGAGTCTCGTCTGAAAAAATTGAATGATCAGATGAGATTTGTTCACGATGATAAAGAATCGGAGTTACTATTGATTGTCGAAGTAGATTCTAAATGATCAATGACAATATGACATTGTTTTCTCAAGTCTAAATAATTTGAAGAGATGCGAAAGAAAATCTGATACTGAAACTAAGATCGTTTATATCGATCCAATCATCTTCTATATTGCTCCGGATAAGAGACTTTTCACTGAAACTCTATTTCAAATTTAATTTGAAACGATTTATTATGACAAACTTTACTTACAAATCTTGTTCGTAGCATTGTTGAAAGATTTCTCAAAGAAAACATATACCAATACCAAATAATTAAAAAATGGAGATGGAGTGGATGACTTCTGATGACTCACAATCAATGAGCGGATTGGTGTAAAGTAATGCACTTGTTATTAATGTTGTAAGAATGAATGTTAAAGAGTTAACTTGAGAAGACAGTGAGATCTTTTTCATATAATCAAATGAAAATTAGTTAATGCAGTAAAAGACGAAGTATGTGAAATATTTTATTTCAGTAAAATACAAAGAGAATATGAAGTAATATATGTGTATTATTTATTATTCATTATTGATTATGATTTATTCGTTATGATTTACCTGTTATCGATGTATTGGATTTAAAATACTCTGGTTGTGATTCATTATGATTATGATATATTTAATTAATTATTATGATATATCTACTTATTATGATGTATTTAATTATTATGATATATTTAATTATTATGATTTATTTAATCTCAATGCTTATCTTACAATGTTTTAGGTTAATCATGATTGAAATTAACTTCAAAATGAGTACTGATGATGATCTACCTGCCAGCTTGTGTCCAACTGAATACAGATCGAAAATTCTACACATATATTAATACATATTCTTGTTGTATTTATTGAAATAAAATATTTCACATACTTCGTCTTTTACTGCATTAACTAATTTTCATTTGTAAGAATGATTCTGATATATTCATTTCGATGTCAAAAATAAATAAATGTGGAAACCTCGGATTTAAATCCGAGAGTTATGTGTACTTCAAAAAGTGAATGACACAAATCGGTCATCCTACAATGTGTGGATATAAAAATCAACCTGGCACACGTTTTCTATAAACACTTGAATTCTATTGGCCACTGCTCAGCCAATAGGATTTCAGGGTGAGTACAGCTCAGATTAGGACTCTTCGCCTTGATTTACCCTCAGAAAGACGTTTTCCCTATAACTTGATTTCTATTGGTCAGTGTTCAACCAACGAGGCTTCGAGGCCAGTAAAGTACAGATTCGAATTCTCCGTCCGAAAAAACCTCGAGCTATCATCTCTATGATCAGAAGATAGAGCTCTGCTTATGGATCGATTAGAGCGCAGACAAAACCAGAACCGATTTCCCTTTGTTTATCTTTGTAATAGGTGAGCTAGCCTTCTTGTTTCTTAATGTTTTATATACCATTTTGTAGCTCGTGAAATTCTCTATCGAATGGTATATGATAGTTGGGGTTTTAGTTGACTATGATAGGAAAAGTGTTTTACGAAAGTGGGGATAGGTCGATTTTCCTATAGGAAGCCATATGAAAAAATGAGTATTTTTGCAATAACTCAGAAACGGCTCGGCCGATCCTTGTCATCTTCGAACTCGACCGAGATATTGTTAAGACTGAACTATGTAGAAAATTTCATCGTGATCGGACTCTCCTTTCAAAAGTTATCGTGTTAACGGCCGGCCGGCCGGACACACTGACCGATTCTAGAGTGTACTCACTTTTTGAGTACACAAAAAAGATTTAAAGATCTTCTTCGATTTGATAAGTGTATTTTAGATTGTCGAAAAGAAATGTTCAATAGATGACGTTCATTGACATGCGACTGCATTTCGTGTAGTCAGCTGCCTTAAAGAAGAATATTTTAGTCAATTTTGCATCTTAAAGAACGTAGATATAATTTTTAAAAATAAGGCAATTAGTTAAAGAATATTTAAGAGTAAAAATTACACTTCGTTAATACTTTATATAATTGTTGCTCAACCCAGACTACATTAATCAACTGATTTATGTCGAGTTTTTCAAACATTTTTTCGACGCTCACCAGATAGTTGGCTTGAAGGAAGGGAAAAAAAACTTTCTTATGTTATTTTTCATTTGAATACTTTTTTCATCTAGGTTCAATCACTGGTTCAAAATCGACTTGTATTAAAACTTGTTCGTGATTTATTAACTATTGTTGAAACAGCTCTACTTAAAGTTTATTTAATTGATCATAATAATACATTAGCTAATGCATTATTACGTAATCAAGATAATTGTTGCTTGCCAACAGAAGTTGAAAAGGAACTTATGAAACATCATCGTCGTCAAGAATTAGTTTCATTTTATGAAAAACAAAATCGACATAGTGAAGCATTAGAAGTAATTAAAAATACAGACTCATTATCAACACGTCAAAATATTCTTAATTATTTATCTAAACTTGATAATAATCAATTACCACTAATTTTTAAATATATTAAACCAATGATAAAGTCTGCTTTAGAAGAAACAAAGAATGAAAATATTCTTCATGATAATGCACGATGCAAAAGTCTTTGGAAAAATGTCAAACAGTGTTAGACTATATTGCTGACTTCTGAACCAATGAAATTCTTTTTTGTTAGAAAGAGCAATGTCTGAACTACAAATTCTGTAGCAGACATATTTTTCCAGAACGAATCTGAGAAGGAGGAAAAGATCAAAAACCAAATATCTCTAAAACGTTCTTGCAACACTTTCGCAACTTGAGAAGCCTATATTTCTCAATTATTTTCAGCTACACTGGATCAATTTTCAACACAAAATACACCAAAATGTAGCGGATCAAAAACTCTAACAATACCAGCTTTGAAGGATTTCTTTGGATCTACTCTTGACTCTTTAATCAAAAAAGTTTGAAACATGAAATCTTTGGAAAATTGAGTTTTTTGCAAGAACCATCGGTTTACAAAAACGTCAGCCACCATCTCCAGAAGTCACATATGAAGTCAATTCTTTTTGCGTTATTTGATCGAAATATGTCCAATCGTAGAACTTTAGCAGAAAAAAATAATTCATTAAAATACTTTTATCATTATAAAATGCTTAAGTAGTCAGAACGACCAAATTATTCAGTATCTTTCAGAAAGGGCTATTTATTGATATAGAAACCAAACATAAATTGAACTTTCAATACACCATTAGAAAGAGCACTCTTTGTACTACAAAAAGTCATCATTGAACGTGCTTTCTGGTTTTCTCTTCTAATACAGAAAACTAATAATAAATAGAAAATGATGTTGCTCGATGGTGAAGTTGCAAGAACTTTTTAGAGGTGTTTGGTTTTTGAGCTTTTCTTCCTTCTCAGATTGGTTTTGGAAAAATATGTCTGCTATAAAATTTGTAGTTCAGACATTACTCTTTCTAACAAAAAAAAAATTTGATTGGTTCAGAAGTCAGCAATATAGTCTAACACTGTTTGACATTTTTCCAAAGAATTTTGCATCGTGCATAATACTAATATTATTTATTGGTGAATCAATAACAACATCACGATCACCATCAACAATGGATATGTCAAATGCAGAAACAATTAAATTTAATCCAATTGAAGTATATGAATTTTTAAAAGATATTAATCAAGACTTTTCTATAAAATATTTAGAAACTACTTGTTTAAAACCAGACCTTGATTCTAAACAATGTGATATTTGTAATCTTCTTATTTATGCATATCAAGATCGTATTAAACAGTTATCCAATGAATCTGAACGAATGATCAAAGCTAGACAACAAGAAATCAAAGATAGTCAACAACAAAATTGTAGAGGTATCTTATGCTTTACTAAAACAACAGAAAAAATTTTCAACTTAACGTTTATATATAAAGAACATAATTGCTAAAGACTATTCGAACTTAGCATTCTATTCTAACGAGGAAAACACTCTGGAGAATACTTCGCGTTTGAGATAAGACATGTCTCATTTAGTAAGATCTATAGAGCCTATTGACGTTTTAAAAAAGCAATCGCTCTTACTGTTCTTAGAATAATTTGGTCATATGAAGTGATCCAAACACGCTAGCCAAAAAAATGTAGCTCATTTCACATAGACAAAATATTGCAATAAAATACGAGTTCTCGCTTTATGATCGTTTCTCAAAAATATTGTTTTTTAAATTTCTAAAGTACGGCATATTGTCTACAAATTTTCAAGACCTATCTAAGAATTCCAAACACCAGATTATCAAACACTCTTTCGAAAGCAGTTTTTGGAAGTTTTTAGGTTTACCAGAAAATGGTTTTTCCAGGTTTTAAACTTTATCTAAGAATGGTTTTTGGAAGGTTTTAAATTTTATCTAAGAATCATTTTTAGAGGCTTTTTATCTTTATCTAAGAATGGTTTTTAGAGGTTTTTTAGCTTTATCGAAGGATGATTTTTGAAGGTTTTTCAGGTATACCTGAGAAGGGTTCTGGGAGGTTCATAGGATATATCTAAAATATGTTTTGGATGTTTTTCAGGTTTATCCGAAGATAACTGTTATTCATTTTTCAGATAAGCACGATATATTATCTGACACTACTAGATTTTCGAGAGAATAGTATATATTAAATCTGATTTTACAAGGAGAATGGAAAGTGATTTTGTTGGTTCACACAAGCTGAGATAAACTACATACACTTTTGAATATAGCGTGTGAATATAACTTATTTTAACCTTTGTTATAGATAATTTCTTTTAATATTGTATCGCTCGTTCGATTCGTTAACTATAAGAAGTTTTCTATGTTTACAATTAGATGCAATCTCTATTCAAACTTTCTTTGCAGAACCGTGATTATCTTCAGCTTTCTTCGCTCCGAAAGTCATGCACTACTAACCTGTTTAAAAATCAAACTAGTTCGAGCGCCTAAAATAAAAAACATTTAAAGAAATCTACGACTGTAAGAAGTAAACACTTCTAATCAGTAGGTATAGATGCCTTTCAAAATATCCATTACGTTGCTTAGATAATACTATAAAACTCGAAGCACCATTGTTGCATAACCATTGAATTGCGACTGGCGACAATCGATGCATTTTTTCGCGTGAACCTGAGTAATGTCTCTCAATAATTTCGAAAGCCTAGAAGAAATTCCTAATCAAATCCTCCTAAAACCATCTTTGGATGTTCTTTAAGATCCTCCAAAACCCATCTTTGGATGTCCCTTAAGATCCTTCAAAATAGGGGTGTACTGCGCACGCTCACTGTGAACGCTGACACCACTCATGCTCACGTTCACGTTCATATGAGCGCTCATAAGCGTGAGCGAAGATACCCTTGGGTCCTCATGTCCTATTATATGAAGATACCCTTACGAGGGAACCTCTCCAGGTGTTACATCGCTTTTGGCTTGAGACTATAGCCATTAGATAAACCCTACTGAGATGTGCTCAGATCCATAATGGTTCGGATGCATGGGTCTCTGGGGGAGAGATATTGGATTTTTTAGGGTATTTTTCTAATGGGGCCTTGGCATTCGAGAAAACTCAAACTTTAGAATTTAGACTTGAAACTTTGTCCAATTAAAGGTCTCTACTAGAGTAAATATCATACAAAATTTCAGATCATTAGCATAAACTAGTAAAAATACCTATGGCTCCTATATGGAGGACGCTCGCGCTTCAGAAACCAGTAGCTGACGAACGGTTTGTTCTAAAGGTCTGAAATTTTGCATGATATCTACTTTAGTAGAAACCTTTAATTGGGCAAAGTTTCAGGTCTAAATTCCAAAGTTTGAGTTTTCTCGAATGCCAAGCCCCATTAGAAAAATGCCCTAAAAAATCCAATATCTCTCCCTCAGAGGCTCATGCACCCGAACACTTATGGATCCGAGCACATCTCAGTAGGGTCTATCTAATGGCTATAGTCTCAAGCCAAAAGCGATTTAACACCTGGAGAGGTTCCCTCGTTAGCAGACTTCAAGAGACTTCTCGGACTTCAGAAGACTTTATGTGACTTTGTGAGACTTCATAAGACTTCGAAAGATTTCACGAGGTTTCACAGGACTTAAGAGACTTTTAAAGACTTCATGTGTCAAGAAACCTTAGAAATTGCATCAAATTTCTGCAACATGCAAAAAACAGTCCCAATTATATAAAGATCGCAAAAGAATTTCTATATTCTTAAAATTTTTTCTCACAGTACATTAATCATTGGAATATTTTAAGACGATGCAGCTAATTTTGAAAATAGAGTTCTACATATTGCAGACATTTTTAAATAGCTAAGATTATCCACATTTTCTAAAACATTTCTTATTATCTGTTTGATGATTTCAAATGATTATTTTTTTCTTTTGTTTGTTAAAACCAATGAATATATAACACAAATAGCAAAAAGTATTGTATAAAAACATCGACCATCGATAGACATGATCAATAAATAACAAATATAAGTTCATACATAAGTAAACTGCTTGTTGCTTATTGACCTAAAATGGTAGCTGCTCATTGAATGATGACTAACGTGAATGAAACAAACAAAGGAAAAGGATAAAATTCTTCATAACATTGATATTAACTTAATGAAACATTTCGGCGTTGAATAAATAAAGTTATTTAAAAAACTGTTCCAACACTAACTATTGTGTTTTTCGAGTTCGAACGAACTTAGGATTTTGTCCAACAGATTTACGAAATAACCAAAATTCATATTTCTGCTAAAATATGGCCATCGAAAACAAGACAACTTCATTTGTTTCTCTCTAAATTTCTCATCAGAGCTCGAAAACGAACGGAACTGAACCGAACCGAATCCGAACCGACATTTTGAAAACTGAATCGAACAGAACCAAATCCAAACTGGATGATTTCGGTTCGGTTCGGATCTGTACCAGTTCTGAGGTCTGAAAAGTCATCTTATATACTCAATCAAGTGCTCTCATTTCTTCCAAACAAGTCATTTTTTGATGTGTAATGAAAATAAGTGAATGTCAACGATTAAAATACTAATATACAGCTTGCATTAACTATTTTATTATTAGCCCGAACCGAACTTACGCGGTTCGTTTCGAGCTGTTTTCCATGAACTAAATCAAGGGGGAAACAGCAGAGACTTCAGCCGTGAAGTCCCATGACGTCTTGAAAGTCTTTTGAAGTCATCTGAAATCTCTTGAAGTCTTATGACTTCTCATGAATTCTCAGAAAGTCTCTTGAAGTCTTTTGAAGTTCAATGAAGTCTCATGAATTCTTCTGAAAGTTTTGCAAAACATTTAGTGCATGAAAATTCATAAGAAACGTTTTTTGATACGCATGGAATCTGCCTCTTCAAGTCCTGCGAAGTCTTGTGAAGTCTTATGAAGTTTTGTGAAGTCTTGTGAAAATATGAAGTCACTGCAGTTGAAGTCCGTTGAAGTCTTTTGAAATCTTGAAGTTTTGAGGTCCGCTGTTTCCCCCTTGAACTAAATATACTCCAAAAATTTCAGATTTCATGAGACTTTATGGGACTTCAAAAGACTTCAGAACACTTCAAAAGATTTTACGAGACTTCGGAAGGCTTCAAAGACTTTCAAGACTTCATCAGACTTCATGAGCAAAATCTCTGCTGTTTCTCCCTTGAGTATCTTCGAATAATAGGACATGAGGGCCAAGGATACCTTCATATAATAGGAGATGAGGACCCAAGGGTATCTTCAAATAGTAGGACACGAGGGTCTAAGGGTATCTTCATACAATAGGACATGAGGAGCTAAAGGTATCTTCATATAATAGGAGATGAAGATTTAGGTGTATTCTCTTTAAAAGACACGCTCACCGCTCATGAGCGTGAGTGTGAGCGTGAGCTGTACACCACCTACTTCAAAAACCTTTTTTGATATTCCTTAAAATCCTCGAAAAACCATCTTTGGATGTCCCTTAAGGGGACTCCCCTTTCCGATGTTTCTGGAGAACGGTTAGGCGAAATTTTTTGACAATTTCAGGGTAGATAGATCTCAATGAGTAGAATAAAAGTTGTCATAGACTCACAAATCCCAAATGCTTTCTTCAGGGAGATTTTGATAGACCAATGGTCAAAAGTGACCTGAAGTTTTCCCCCCCAGCAAACGGCCATAATACGTTCTTTTGGGCTGAAAATTTTTCTCCAGCAACTAGGAACAAATCTGGGTGCCCAGTTTTTTTTTCTTTGAAAAATATTGTTCCTGAGGCTCAGGAGAAGCAAACCACTGGCGGCACTATCAAAAAACCCTTAAAAAAAGCTTTTTTTCGGAGGGTGCTAATTTTTAAAACCTGCCAAACTTCATAGGTACAATATTTTCAAGAGAAAAAAAATGCCCACCCCGATTTTATTGAAGTACTCATCAAAAAAGTTTGAGCCCAATCGGTCTTATCGTTCAGGAGAAAAGGGGGGAAAACTTCAATTTTTTGTTTAAAAATCTGGTTTTGAGAAAAATGCAAAGAAAGTTGCACTTTTTGGCTTTTTTAGCATAAAATTGAGTTTTTTTTTCGAGTTTTTCACATGCAAAAAGGTTGTTTTGTCTTCTTAAAATGTGCTCATTGGATAGAGGGCATCTAAATCCACATACCAAACACAAAAAATGAAAAACGAAAAAATTAAAAATTTCGGGTTCGGAAAGGAGGATCCCCTTAAAGATCCTTCAAAAACCTTACTTGGATATTCCTTAAAATCCTTCACAAACCTTCTTTAGATTTTCTTTGAAATGCTTCAAAAACCATCTTTGGATATTCCTTAAAACTCCTTAAAAAATCGTGTTTCGATATCCCTCAGATTCCTTGAAAGACCTTCTTTAGATATGCCTTAAAATCCTCGAAAAGCTATCTTTGGATGTTCCTTAAGATCCTTGAAAAACTTTGTTTAGATATTCGTTAAAATTTTTCGGAAACCATTATTCGAAACCCTTGAGAAAATCTTGAAGTAAATAATCGAGAAATTCCCGAAGTTTGCGCTAGATACTTTGGAGTTTCTATAGCATAGAAGAGAACATTACGGATCAATTTTCATACTATTGAGATTTGGTAAAATATGGATTATGGACTCCTGTTTGGTTCACGCGAACTTTGGTTCACTTCACACGGCCCTTTGGATGACCCTTAAGATCCTTCAAAAACGTTTGTAGGTATCGATTAAAGTTCTCGCAAAATCATCTTTGGATGTTCTTTAAGTTCCTCAAAAAACCGTCTTTGAATGTTCCTTAAGATCCTTCGAAAACCTTCCTTGGATATTCCTGAAAATCCTGGAAAAACGATCTTTGGATGTTCCTTAAGATCCTTCAAATACCTGTTTTAGGTATTCGTTAAGATTTTTTGGAAACCATTGTTCGAAATCCCTGAGAAAATCTTGAGGTGAAAAGTGGAGGAATTCCCGAAGTTTGCGCTAGTTATTTTGGATTTTCTATAGCATAGAAGAGAAAATTACAGATCAATTTTCATCCTATTGAGATTTGGTAAAACATGGATTTTGGACTTTGTTTGGTTCACTTCACATGACCTGAAATTTCTAAATTTTTTCGAATAAATTTATTATTCTTTTTTTTTCTTTCATTGATATGGCATTGTTCTGACTATGTGTTTTTCGTTTAAATAGTGCTTTATTTTCTAGAAATCGAATGCTTATCTCTATCGTGTATTCAAATCTATGAAAGTAGTGTAATACCTTTGATGTTCAATGTAATTGTATCTCTTAAATTTTCCTTGTAAGTTATTACTGGTTTTTTTTTTATTGTTAATTTTCTATTCGAGAGACTTCATCAGATTATAAATAAAAGCATTCGAAGGTATATTTTAGGTTTTGACCTTTGATATTTAATTTTAAAAGTAATGAGGTAAATATGAATTAAGGAAAAATTCTTCCTTTAATCGATATCAATACTCATAACTCAGCATATTCCCCATTATCAACCAAAATAGCCAATAGATCAAACTTCTTGTATAGAAAAAAAAGTTGCTCTTTGTAAAAAAACAAAAAAAGTTTTCATTTCAACAAAACGTCCACCAATGATTCAATGCCAGTATATTCCTCTTATTATAAAGTTGCAAATAAGTAATATTCGTTTTAGACCCCAAAAAAATGACTTGCTCATTATATGAAATAAATATTTTTTTTTCTCAATCAAACTTAAAAGCAAGCATTTAATGTCAACATATTCTCATTATTAAAAGGATTAGTAAACAAGTAACATTCATTGTATAGAAAAAAAAATGCTTATTCATTGTACAAAAAAAAAAAGAATATGGTATTTCAATCAGATGTTACGAATGTTTCAATGTCAGCAAATCTCCATCATCAAAAAAGTTAACAAGTAATACTCTTTGTAGACAAAAAAAGTTCTTGCTAATTCTACAAAAAAAGTCTTTTTTGCTAATAAAATTTCAGCAACGAGTCAATGCTAGCATGTGCCTATGATTACAAAAAATTATTATAAAAATATATTCTGATTTTAGAAAAATAAACACAATATTCAGTGTACTAGCATTGTTGCTAAATTTACATTTGAACGATATTTTTTATGAAAAATTTAGAAAAGCACGAATCTAATCTCAATTAAATTGCAAATTCATCTGTAACATATATATATATACTAGCGAGAACCCGTGCATACTGCACGGCAGCATTTTTCTGAATGTGGATGTAGTTATGATTGCTGGTCGAGTGCTCACCCTCACACCTACACTCCTACATACACATGACACATTGTATTAATATGGAGATCTTCCAGACAAAGCAAGCATATCCCTAGTCCGAAATCAATACCATCCGATTGGAAATCGACTTGTCCATCGGATCCGGCTCCATAGGTTAACTAGCAACGAATACCACTGTCGAGCGACCGAATGTTTTCAGAAAGAGCACATTCGACTTTACGAGTCATCATCATTACGGGGTCACTTCCCGAGATAACATACGAATACGTCGACAAGGTTCAGTACCTTTCAATATCCAATTAAATTCTCAAAAACATCCACCATATGTAATCCACTAGCAATGTTCGCGACTATCGTCGGGGAGGAGTCATCTTAGGAAAAAAATACAATCACTTGTGTCATTCATCATGTTCACGTCGGCACTTCACTACGAAGCAAAATGAAGCGAGGACTTCAATTAACACCATTCGATAGAGAATTGAATTCTCCATCTCGTGTACTGCCACTGATTCACCGGCAATGGATGCAACCTTCAGCCAAATGAGTTTTTTCAGGAACAAACGCCTGTACGGTATAACACATTCTGTTCCAGTGGGCATTTCAGCAGGAAGAAAATGACTCCGGAGGATAATTTGAACAGCATTCGATAGAGAATCAAATTCTCTATCTCCTGGATTAGAATCGACCGACCAACAATGGATGGAACCGGTAGTAGAAGGGGTTTTCTGGGGACAAAACTATTGAACTCTATGATTCATTGTGTTCCAATGGACACTTCACCAGACAGGGAATGAATTGAGATTGTAGGATGAGCATTATATGATGTAGAATTGAATTCTTCATGGCATGGAACATATCTGACTCGCTTCCAGTCGTTTTAGCATTAGATTCTGAGTCTTAAGTGTTTTTGACTTGGAAGAATTTATTGGTGATAGCGCGTGTTTGGTGGAAGTGGAATACTTTAGCATTTGTTTTGTTTGCGTTTTTCGTATAGGTACTTCATTGGTAACTAAGGATGAAAGATTGATATTTCACAGATGGGAACGGGTATTCGGCGGACTTATTTTAATTGGTCGCCTCTATATGAAATCTGATTGGGTGTCGTGGTACCTTCACATCGATATATGATGATACAAAAAGAAGCCTGCAATTGTAAACATGTGCGATACGCTTTACAACAGTACATATATTTTGATGTAATTATGTTCTTCCTTCGTCCTTATTTGAATCGTTTCAATCGACGGTACTTGTGAGGGTAAGTACAGCATCACATTAAATTGTTTATATTTTCCATATACATCATTATGTCTTAACTAGGCAAGAACGAAGCAGAACGATGGACGACGACGAATTCGATGAAGTACCTCAAGCTTTATTTCAAAATGTTGCACTGATCAAGGATACCGATATGTTTGAAGCTCTCGTTCCAATGACGGACGATACGCGCGCTATTATATGTGGTGCTGACTCTTTAAAGGTTGCCATTGTCGCTGTTCGAGTTGGCAACGGCCGATGTTTAGTATTTGGAAGTAGTTATTATCCTGATGTTTTTCTTGCTGATGACCCCCAAGATAAAGAATTTATTAAAAATTGTCGTCATTGGTTGTCTAAAGGAACAGATGCACAATGCGAATCAATCGATGAGATAGAATCCATGGACAGTGTCAAGGAAAAAGAACACATTCTTGTTTGGAATGGATATAACTTTAAAAGTGATGAATTCATGGACGATTTAGTGAATAGGATCATTGTCTTTTTGTTATTAAGACTAAGTGAAATATTTTTGTATTTTTAGCGTGCATTTTTAGAAGAAGGCGGAGCTTTGGTTTGTGGAGCAGCTCCGTGGAATTGGTTAAAGGACAATAATGGCAAATCTCTTTCGGATTTTAAAACTGGTCATTTTTGTGAATCTATTGGTGTCAAAGTGACCGGTGATTATGCTGACTATGATGATCAAACTATATTTATACCTGAAATGATCAAATTCAAAAACTTGTCTAATGCTGTTCAGGTACTGGCTAGCGAATCGAATAATACTGAATACCTGGTTATTGTCGGAGCGATGATCAAGCAACTAGACAATACATTACCGAATTCATTGGCTCAAATTCTGGAAGATCTGGTTCAAAATGCTGAAAATGATATTATCCCAACGAAAACATCACCGATTCAAGATCAATCATGTCGACAGCGATCAATTGGTGTGTGCGGTATCTTGTGTGGATTATATAATATTAAAGCTCCTGGTGAGTAAATAAGTTCACATCTAACGACAAATGCTATGTTATATGTAAATCGTAGGTATAGACGAATTTCCCGGTGATTTTGATGAAACACCGCTTATGGAAACAAATGTCACTGTTCATATTGAATCGAAGAGAAGCGAATGGTATTGCACAGGTATATTTGAATTTGTTCAAATCATGAAAGAATACAATGATTACAAAGTTCTTCCATGTACACAGATCTTGACATGATATCACGTATACTATCTCTCTTTTAGGATACTATGTGGCTGCAGGTACTACCATAAAAATCTATGTATTAAAACAAGTTGGTGCAACTGGATGGTCAGCTAGAATCGGTTGTCACGATGATGATCTCAAGGTATGTCTTCATACAAAGTAATTCTTCATATCAACATAAGCTATTAGGAATGCGATGAATTACGTCGATGGAACTACATTTCGATATGCAAACCACTCTCTAGCACTACTGTCGAAATGAGTTCGGCTTTCGGTGGTCTTCTCTTTCTTGAGAGTCCTACTGGTGAATCGAATTCCATTAGTGTTAAGCTATGGAATGTTGTTCGAACACTTACCTACGATCTCATGGATTCTGATCGAGAGCTAAGTGTTAACGCACAGGGTCTCTGGGCAGAGATTGCTAGCCAATATACTGTTTTCAATGTTCCTTCGAAAATTGTACGCGATTTAGATAGCTATGAATTAGATCGAGCTCTTTGTTTCTGGGATTCCGTAGTATTGGCTCATCATGAATTACGCGGTACTACACCAGTAGGTCGAGAACGAATCGTATGTGATGAACAACCATCATATGGCTACATGCGTAAGAATAATTTGATTCAAGAATCAATTTCCTGATTACCAATAAGTATCAATTTATTATAGATGCTAATTATCCAATTGTTACTCATTTGGATGTAACTGATCCAGAATCTGAATATTTCTTATTCAACGGTGATTGTCTAGAACGTAATGGTTTTTGGGGTCTTTTTCATGAACTTGGTCATAACATGGAGCGTGACTGGTGGGGTAAGTATTATATGTTTTCACTTAGATCTTTTGGAAAAAAGTCTTTGTTTAGTTTTTAGTGCTGCAGGTGAAGTAGCCGGGAACATTTTCACTTTACACGCCATGGATGTTATTTGTCATTTTGAACCATGGATTCACTCTTGGCTCAAGGAGAAAGTAGAGAACGCGAAAGAGGGTATAAAGAAAGGAACGCCTTTCGACGCATGGACAGCAGATGCCGGTGTTGCCTTGTTTATCTATGCACAACTAGCACGAGAGTTTGGTTGGGACAGCTATAAAGCTGTCTTTCGTCAATATGAAGAAACTAAACCGAATTTGAATAGTGATCAAGAGAAAATAGATCACTGGATCACAACCTTCTCGCGTCAAGTAGAGTATAATTTGGTTCCACTGTTCAAATTCTGGGGTTTTCCAATTTCACAATCAACCATTGACGATCTTGACGACCTGCCACTTCAAGAAATCTCTGATGAATTAATTGAAATAGCACCAGAACGCTATGAAGTCTAAGACATCTTCTGTTGGACACAATTAATTTATTTTAGTAGATAATTAGTTAAGCTAATGTATTTCACTTCTTATTTAGCAATAACAACTATAGCATTTAAGCTCTTAGCAACAATCAATGATTTATTGTTGCGATCTTTACTAATGATTAGAGTTCATGTTCTGTATATGACATTTTTTTATACGAAATGTTTAAATCGTTCGTCAATGCTGTTCACTATGTAATTTGTTCGAGAAACAATCTTACTCTAATGTTCATTCGACTTTTTCGGCAAATGTAGTATATCACAAAGCTTAGAAATAGTCACGAAATTCTAAACATCTCGCAAATTCAAGAGTAACACTGAAAAATGAAAGATTGTTCACGAAAATTTTTTCAAAGTTTAACATTAACATATCAAGTAGCTCTAGAACAAGTACACTTGAGAATTATTTTTTCATGACATATTGTATCAGTCATTATGTGACATATCGATTTCTGAAGGATTTTTTTGGTTTATTCATTAATTACATCTTGCCCTATTTATGCACTTTGATCGATCGAAGCATGATAAAAAAAAGTCAGTATGATTATACAACAAATAAATTGCAATGCAATGCATGTGCAATACGCTTGACAAGGTTAGACATATATATATATTGGTGTAATTATATTCATTTTCTTATTTTTATTTAAACCATTCTGATCAATACTACTTGCCAAGGTAAGTAAATAACCACATTATATAGCTTGTATATTGAATGCATATCATTATTTCTTGAATAGGCAACAGTGAAACAAAAAGATGAACGACAACGAATTCGATCAAGTACCTCAAACTTTATTCAAAGGTGTTGCATCTCTCAGTAAACTAGGCACTCTCGGAACTCTCATTCCGATGACGAATGATACTCGTGCTGTACTAATGGTGAATCGAATTCGATTAGTGTTAAACTACAGAATGTTGTTCTAACACCAACCTACGATATCATGAATTCTGACTGAACCAAAATTTGGGAAGATCTACGTAGTCGTGCATAAGGCCTATGAGCAGATCTTGCTGGCAGATATATCGTTTTCAATCTTTCTTCGAAAAGTGTACTCCATTTAACTAGTGCTGAATTAGATGAAGTTCTTCGTTTCTCGGACGTAGTAGTACTCACTCATCATGAAATACGAGATACTGCACCGACTCGTCGAGAACGTATCGTACCTAATGAACAACCATCGCTTGGCTACATGCATAAGATTAAATTAATTATGATACCAGTTTTCTAATTACCAAAAAGGATTAATTCATTTTAGATAGTGGCTATCCAATTGTCACTAAAATGGATGTATCTGATCCTAAGAATGAAGGATTTCTATTAAATCTTGATATTCTAAGAAAGAAAGGCGCTTGGGGTCTTGTTCATGAACTTGGTCATAATATGCAGCGTGACTGGTGAAGTAAGTGTTACATGCATATACTTTGACCTTTTGGAAAAAAAAAGATTTTGTTGAGCTTTCAGTTTTACGCGTGAAGTAACCACAAATATCGTCACTCTACATACCATGGAAGTTATTTGTAAACTTCCACCATGGATTTATTCGTGGCTCCAAGGTTATGTAAAACAAGCGTACGGGTATATACAAAACGGATCGAATTTTGAACAATGAAAAAAAACCGAAATGACTCTCTTTATGTATGCACACCGAGCACGAAAGTTTCTGGGGTTTTCCCATTTCACAATCAACTATTCATGGGCCTTGTAACCTGTCAATTCGACAAATCAGTGATGAATTCATTTAAATGGCACCTAAACGCTATAAAGCCTAAGATATCTTCTCTCGAACACAATTAATCTATCTTAGAAGATTATTAGCTGAATTGATATAGTACATATTTTATTTAGAAATAAAAATCATAGCATTTCACGTTTTAACATCAATCAATGATTAGAATTTATCTTCTATATATGATATGTTTTTTCGGCGAAATACTCAAATCGTTTGTCAATGTTGTTGATTATATAATTTGTTTGAAACATATAAACTTAACTTTAAGTTTATCCTGATGAATTTTTTCGTTTTGCTAGTGTATGCGATATTTCAACGTGTGGAATGAGTACGAAAACCATAAATGATTATGAGATATGATTGTGTACTTGTATTAATATGTATGTCTCTAGTGTTCATTTGACTTTCACCGCAAATACCTTTCGATATTGAGTTCTTTTTTCTTCGATGAATATACACTACTTCTTTTGAGAGCATCTCCTTGCTCAATTTCAGAAGAGAATGCTTTGGTTTTTTTTCATTTCAGCCATATATCTATATACTGATACATTATTTTCTTCTGTTTTTGATAGGCTTAGATCTTCCATTTATCAGCACTCACATATATGGAATCGGTTTGCATGAAATAAAAATCTAATGACTATATATGCAATCTAGTATGTCCTAACTGTATAGAAGTACAATGATTTATTGAAGATCACTAGGATTTGAAAATTTTCGATTGATTTTATCTGACATGAGTAAGTGAGTGTTACTGTTCTATGAAATAAGAACTGATTCAACACTGAATGAGTTCCATCATTATCTTGCTTGATATGAGACTAGAAAGTCATGGATATTAGTGAGGAAAAAAAAGAGTACTATAACAATCATTGCAGCGGGGTTCGTTACCGTCAACGCTGTGTAGTGGATGTAGCCACATTATTTCATTGGCTCTTATTCGATCAATAAATATACGAACAGTTCTTGAAAGTAATGAATACATATATTATTACATTTGATTACACTTTATTACCATTACAAAAAAAAGAAATTATAAGTCTTTATTAACTTGAATAATACTGGTTATCTTTGACATACTAATATAATATTATAGACTTCTTTTATTGTTTATTATATGTATATAATTATTTCGACATATTGTCATTTGATAAAATCTATGCACTATAGTTTCTGCACTAATTAATGAAAAACTTAATCAATAATATTCTATCAAATATTGATTTGTTTTTGAAAATATATATATTATTATTTATAAAACAAAAAAAAAAAGAAAATATTTTGTTTTCTTCTTTCTATGATGATACTTATTATTGTTTTTTCTTTTGTTATAATCTTATCTTTAGATAATTTCGAAGGTCGTCAGTAAACTTTTTTTCTTCTCTATTGTTGCATTTAAGAAGCACAAACACTCTTTATTTATTCAATCGTTGTAAACTAATAACAATCATGGATGATCGATTGATTAATGTTATATTACTTGGTTCAGCATTTATGGTTTTATTTACTGCATTTCAAGCTACCGGCATGATATCGGTATTAATATCATTTTCAAAAAAAAAAAA